ATAATATTTATTATTTTATTTTGAAATACATGCGTAACACAATACAATTTCAATTTCTAAGTACGTCAATATTATCGCATTTTGTTTCTTTCTTCTTAACAAACGTAAATTGAACAATAAATTGCGATTTATTTTAATAAAATGCAATTTATTTAATTTATGATAATAATAGAGAACAAAAATTACTTTCTAGGATAGTCCTTTTATCCTTTACTGATCTATTATAGATACTCAAAGTCACTTTACGCCTTTAGAAAAAAATGTTATCTATTAATAATAAGTCGCTTCAAATATTTCAAATTGTTGAAATTTTCTAGAAATTAGGCTGTAAAAAATGTCACAATATAATTACTTTACTTATCTAAAATTATTAAAAAATTTTCTTATTAAAAATAATATTTCACTTAAAAGAACAAAATATTTAAAAAATTAGAATAAAAATTAAAGTAAAGAGGTCGTAACTTGACGGAAGTATCAAACCAATCATCCGGTCCATGATAACATTTCGCATATATACTTTTTATATTATCATCTGCTGATAATATAAAAGAAATGCTAACATATGATATGTTATCGGCTGAAAGTAAAACAAAATAATTAAAATTTATTTCATATAAATATCATAAAAAATACTATATCATAATTGTCTAGAAAAAGAAATCTAAAAATATATATAAGAATAATAAAATTTTTTAATAAATGAAATGAAAAAAAGCAAAGTAAATCAGTTTCTCAATATTATGGCAGAGGACGTTGTAATCTTTCTTTGCAATTGGATATACTTTCGCGAGAGGAATACTCAGGAATAATGTTATATGTTTGTTCACGTTAATTCCTAAAATGTATTACTTAAAAAAATAAATATTTAATTGTGCATTAAAAAGAGAGTGTGTGTTAAAAAGAGAGAAAACGAAAGTTCTAAGTGTAAAAAATGCAGAACACGAACAGACTGATTACTCATTTTTCATTAATTCTTGAATTTAGTTTTTTAATTTTTTATAAGTTTGCCACCGATAATTAGATAGACAATTAGATTAGACATTAAAAATAGAGGTAAAATACAAAATAAAACGAGTTTTATTAGGGTACTTCATGCTAAAAGCCCTTATCATTTTCAAATTATTTCCTCATCCACTCCAAGCTGTAGCCCTTTCGACAACCCTCTTCAAAGGTAAAAGCGAAAGGATCAGTTACGCGAAAAGCGTAATAATGCATCAATGCATGATCGCACAAAGTGGAGCCTGGCACAAAATGCGGCGCATGACCACGCGGTGACACTCCGATAACACGCTCGAATAATAAGGATAGCGCCCAGAGAGGATACAGGGTTGGATACGCACGCGTGAGCCCGCGTTCGGGGTCCGTCTTCCGTTTCCAGTCCGGTCACTATGACGCGCGATGTGGAACCGAGTCGAGAATATTGTAGAATATGTGGCGATTCTATTATGTTCAAAATTTATTGTAGGTGCATGGCATCTGTAACACTGCTAATTGAACTATTACAAATTTGGCTGGTACTCTTTTATATAATACGATATTTAACCTGCACCCTCATAAATTTTTTCACGAATGATTAAACATTACTACAATATCATGATCATTATGATAATTAGAGAGTCAGTATCTATTAAATAAATAACATCATACATGATTTTAAATTTCTTTTATTCTTTTATTCTTATATTATATATGATTTCGCATTCACATGCAAGCTAACAATTAGACTTGTATAAAAACATAATTCAACATTCGTGCATATTAAATTTTAACAAAAGTATAACTGTTAAATTTTCAGCTCGAGCAATTTTACTTTTATAGCTCCTGTCTCATTACTCTCGTGATAAATATATGATTATTTCTACGAGAGGAAAACGTACATAGTCTTTAAATAAATTGATTTCTAACTTGTAAATAATTGACAGGCTTTTTACGTAACAATTTCATACTTTTATATATCAGTCAACCTTATGAATGCATAAATCATTATCGAATAAAAAAAATTCTTAACGGCTTAATTTCACATTAACTCGCATCGTTCCGCATCCTGAACGCTCACTCTATTTACCACGCGTACTTTCTTTCCGCGCCGCGTACTCCGTCGCGTCGCGCTACTTCTCGAACATGAGCCCCTTTCGCGAGAAGATTCGAATTCCTTCTTTCAACGAAGCAATCGACGATCACGGAATATTTGCGGCCAAGCTTTTTAATACGACCGCATTGTCTCCACAACTTTCTCTCGTTGCGTATAAACTTGTATCGCTGGTGCCACGTGGTACCACAATAGCGCAAGCATTGTAATTGTATGTCTCGTGGATCTTTATGCAGTAAAAAACATTTTCTACTTTTATTAAATGGATTCTTGTTAAATTTTTTATGTTGAATTTTTAACATATCCAAGTATTAATTCAACATAATTATGTTATTTAATGTTCTGTATTAAATTAATAACATTGACACTTTTTAATGATAAAATGACAATTTATGCACAGAAAAGATTTTTTTGCTAAAGTATCTAAAAATTTAGTATACAGATCTCAATTTTGTTGGACCATCAATAATTACGTACGATTTATCTCAAACATGATGAACAATGCTGAAAAAAGTTTTGATATTCTAAGTTAAGCATTTTATATATAGTTATTTTGATGGTCCAATAAAATTATTTTTAGATCTAATTTAATTTTTAGATATTTCAACAAAATCGTGTGTAAATAGAAATCAAATAATATAATATTAAAAATAATATAATTTTAAAATGTAAATTTTTAACTAAATGAATAAAAAATGAATGTTAAAAAGAAGGTATTATAGTATCCCAGTTATATTTTACACAATAATTTCGTTAATAATCAATATTTAAGTCTAAAATTTGACAATTATATTTATTAAAATGTTATTAAATCGATTGTGGACTTAAAGAAATATTTATTACTTAGAATACTATTAATAAAAATATGACGACATTGCATAATGACTCGAAGAAAAAAGTGGATGGTAATGTAGCTTTCCATAAAAATAGCCTTAAAATATTAGTTTTGTTTAGAAAACAGTATTTGATTACAAAATTAACAAAAAGTTAAACATTTTAAAATATATATTCAAATGAATGTAGATTCACAACTTCTGCATATAAGCTTTCAGTATTAAAAATAGTACACGTAATATAAACATTAGATTAACAGAGCTACAATCAATTATCAAATAATTATTTTGATATGAAAACCTCAAAAAAGAAATCATGAATAATCAATATCCATAAAGGGTCACATTAACAAAATGTCATACTATTGTTTAAATTTGCATAACTCAAAATATATATATATAGTCAAATAAAATGTTAATTAAATAGCAAATAACACACTCAAAAATACATATATTCATGTGATAATACGTTCAAGTTAAAAAAAATGACGAAGTAGGTGTAATTAAATGCTAAAATGTACCTTAAAAACGTTTCGAAATACTTGAAAGTAACAATGCGTTAGAATAAATTATAATAAATGCTATGGCTATTGAGTATTGGTATATTAGCGTCATGGTAACGGCGAACAAATAATTCCATAAGTAATCATTAGGATTCAATATTTGATAGCAGAGATATTAAGAAAAGCCGCAATGTATACACTGATATATTATCTTTTCCTCTATATATCTCTCTATTAATTCATGTAATACTAAAGAAATATATTTCCACAATTTGTCATATTTCTTTTAATTTTCTTACATGTTATGTTACTTCATACATATATATATATCTTGTGTTAAATGAATACAAAAATTAATATAAAAAGTTATGGAACTGTTTGAGATACGTAAAATGTATTTAATTTAACATTAAATTCAACTGTATATGACAATAAAAAATTTATCCTTTTATACACTTTAACACTTGTGTCAATCATCATATCTTTATTGATGAAGAAAGAAAATACTTAATTTATATTGGTATAAGTTTATTTATGAAAAATATTTCTACAAATTCTATATGTTTCTAAACTCTGACAATTTGTGAACTATCTTCCAATAGCTTATATTTTATTGATAAACAAAAGTTAAACACGTTATTTATGAGTGACAGCAGTTTCTCTAAAGACAATCGATAGAGGACATTAAATAATAACAATCAAACTGCAGAGGAAAAGGAGTTTGAGTGAGTGGAATAGTTTGCCGAGTCGACCAACGAGAGCGCTGTGTCGGTTTGCGTGGAGATACGACCCTTCGAACTTGAAGGCGGCTCATTCGGTCGGTGTTTACTGCCACTGAATAGATCGTGCGCGCTTCTACGTGACTATGATCGACAACTACTTCAGAGACAAGAACTCGTGGCTTTTTTTGAAGCAAAGACAACCGAGAATCAATCATTAAGTGATGTCGAGCGACTTAGTAACAACCAGTGACAAAGTATTCATTTATTAAAAAAAAGATCATTTCAATTTATTAAATAAAAACGTTAAAAAGAAGTTTTATAAAAAATTCGTGTTCTTCTATTAACATTGTTGTCACCATAAGTTGAGGCGATAGTTCTAGTGAAAGCTCGAGATTATTTCGATCGTCCCGCGGACTTTCGCGCTGTTATAAAATGCAGGCGCGGTAATAAAATGCAAAACCTCGGGCGTGCTCGCACCGCTTCAACGGATTTCCGAACGGGAGACTCGCGAGTGAACGTTCCGTGATTAGGAGTGATTTGCTCCGATCGATCGTCGATGGCGAAATCCACGGCAGAGAATGGTGCGTTTATCTGCGAGCGCGATCTATGACTTGGCGAACGTATAGCGCGGGTGTGTGTTACGGATCTTGCGAATTGTGTTTGATCTTCGATCACGCGTGCACGTGTTTCTTCACGTGTTGCCGCTCCGATTATTTTCTACGAAGGACACAAGTCGAAGGAATCTCTGCAGCCTTAAGAGTCTGCATGGAATTCCATCTACAAAATCCCTACAAACATTCGAATATATAATCCTCACAAATATTTGACCTGCGTATTTTAAGATGTCCCAATTTGTAAGCCATTGGATTATCAGTCTGTTCACGCGATAAAAGCGTTCCCCAAGCGTTCTCCAAATCCGTGAGTCTTACGATTCGTACGATCCGCACGTCGGAAGACAGCTCCAAATCTTTGGACGAATCTTTTTCGCGACAGTCGCTGAAGATGTCTTGATTGAGTCGATTGTGAATTTTCTAGTCCCGCAAAGATGACGTTCGATCGCTCGATTCGTTTGCTCGATTTCCTTCTCGTCATCTGCATTTCTCGCACCTTTGTTTTTGGCGAGCAACAATTTCTAGAGAAACCGCAACCTTACCAGGAAGTGTCGTCTGGCGATGACGTGAAATTACGTTGCATAGTACAGAATAAGGGTGGCCAGTGCATCTGGCAGAAGGATCGGAGACCGGTAGGCATACAACCAGATAAGTACGAGTGGGCGAACAGCCGCAGCAGCGGCGACTGTACCCTTGTGATAAGACGAGCCAATTTATATTTTGACGATGGCTTCTGGGAGTGCCAGGTTACTTCCAGCGATTTTACCCGCCAAGACGCACTCTCATCCGAACAATCGAGACTGCTCGTGAAGGGTGAGAATCCGATTTGATTCCGTCAACCTTCGGCAAGACGTTACATCTTAGATTTATCGCGTATATATTTTTCATACAAGTAATTTAGAAAAAAGTAAATATATTATTTTTTTTTAATAAAAAAGGAGTTTGATGTTACATTGAAAGAAATTTGCTAATCTTGATACATATTTCTTTGAATAATATTAAGTAAACATTTATTTATAGTAAATAAATTTATTCAATGAAAAATAATAGTTAAATCAAATTAATGGTTTTTATATACAAATAAATATATATTTACATTTAATAAACACTTAAAACTTTAAACAGATATTTACTAAAATTTATTATTTTTTCAGTTATTCAAGTATTATATATGATTATTTACATATAAAATAACTACTTATATAATTTATAGTTGCATAGTATATTTAAAGGTAAATGCAAAGACAACAAATAAAATTATTATGAAAAAGTTAACACTTTCATTGCTTGCGCATGCTACTGCACTTTTATATTTTGATATCGTTTGCAATATATTGACATGTTTATTGCAATCTCAAATATAACTTTGGCTGTATAAATATAAAGCGCTCTCCTCAATTTATTTGTTTGAAAAAATGGGAATAAAGGTCAAAAAAATATTAGAATATATGATTATAAAAACAAATACCATTTTCCAATGAAACTGCTTTTAATTTATTTTTCGTTAGTTATAAAATGTTTACGTTAATTTGTGAGGATGCTTTGTACTTATGGCCAAGGCTATTTCGTTGAAGCGCGTTGAGCGCGTTTGGAAGAATCGTTAATATTTCGCGAACATTGACCTCGAGTGATGCAAGGAAACACACAAAGCAGCCGTTATGCTCTACTTTCCTATAATTTTGCAATATCCGTGTTAATGGAAATTTGGTCGAGAGTGGCACAATCGGTTCCTTTTAGCTATTCCCTGTTGTAAGAGCACATAATGATAAGATCACGGTCATAACTATCCGTAAAAGGAAGCAGAGGGAACCAAACACACAACTATTTCTGTCTCACTCTATCTTATCTAAAATGCACCCTAATGCGTGTTCCAGTGAAACCTAAAGAACCTCAACTGGAATATGGGGGGACCATTTTGGGCGCCACCCTAATGCTGCAGGAGGGGCAGGAAGTAATGATTTCCTGCATTTCAAAATACGGAAATCCACCCGCCGTTATCAAATGGTAAGCTTGACACTTTGTCCTTAAACATCGAACAATTATTGCGTCGCGGTAAAATTATGTTGATAACGTGAAAATAAAATGTACAAGAAAAAAAGAGATAATTTAAAAATTGAAAAAGAATTTAAAAACTGTAAGATAGTGGTAGGAATGTGAACATTTTATCGGAATGTCTGATATCGATTTAACGCAATATAACATAGATAAACACCTAAAGCAATTATCTTCTGAATTTTTTACCTCGATAATAAGGAAAAATTGTACGCGTGATTATTTCTCACTAAGAAGTGTTCTAACATGATGCCGATAAAAAGGATGATAATAAAAAAAATCGTAGAAAAAAAATGTTAAAAGGTTTAGTATTTATATCAGATAATTATGGATAGGCCCATTTGTCTCAGACGACCTTTTACCTGAGATAGGGCGATTAGAAGTTAAATATTTTTTTTTTACTTTCGGGCACAATCGGATGACTATCGGAATGCTGACCGTGTCTGCTGATCTTGATGGAACAAAATCTTAATAATGATCTATTAAAAGAATATTCAATAATTTATTTCTTTTTACGAATAAATTCTTGAAAATAAACAGTGACAAAAAGGTAAAAAAAAAACGTTCTTAAAATATTTTCTATAAATGTGGACTTTTCTGTATATTTTAAACTATTCTCCTAAGGCTTATAATTCATTCTTGGGGATTAAAATATTTGAAAATTCTAGGAATGATTATACAAAATGTATTTATCTTTCTCAAGAATAACGCACCAACAAGAAATTTTACTCATAAATCTTATTCTTGAAGATATATACATTACCTGACGTCGAACATCAGGGTATCAATCCTAGAGCAATTCTCGAATATTTACTGATAGTATAGCTCTTTTGTGATTGAATTGATCGCTAGGAGGTCCAAAATAACAGTTTCGAATTGCGTTTGATGATGCAGCGACGCCTCGTCGGCAGACTAAGTAGCGCGCTTTATGCACATTCCTACATTACGTGCCTGCACTTGTTTTCTTACCTCTCAGAAAATACGGCCGTTTTCAAACATCACAGTGGAACATCACAGTGGTTCGTACGCTGCCCGCTGATCCGAGAGCTGGTCTGGTGCAAGAAGCCATGACGTTATGTTTATGCAGGGAAGGGCCACGCGGAGGGATCGTCGTTTTGGTTTACGGTTCGCTGAATTTAGCCGCGCCTTATCTATGTTCTTATGCGATGTAAAACATCTGTTCCTCAGGATGGCACGCGCTTCTTTTGGAAGCTTATGCCCTGATCGTTCCCAGCGGGAGAGAGCGAGAGGCAAGAAACCAGCGGGTGTAATTTAAGTCTTGAACGGTGGCATATGTAGCTCCTTCATGAGGGGGACCCATTGATGAATGGGTCTTTTGAGAAAAGTAAGCTAAGTTTCCGATGCGAGGGCTTGGCCGTTATCCCGTCTCATTGTGTGTAACTTCTTGAAACACATGTAAATAACGTCTGAAAGCCGTTCTAATCTCTCATAAACCTCTCCTTTGTACGTCCTTTAAATTTTTGTGACGGGTGGGTCCGATTGTAATTTAGCTTCTTTATTTTACTGCGTTGGAGTTACGACTTTTTACTTTTGCACATTTATATGGAAGACATACAGCGACGATCGAATTGTACTTCGGGAGAGCAGCTCGTAACATTTATGTTCCCACGCATTTATTTTAGGGTCACGGTACTAATGAAGAATTTTCGGTCCGATAGGACTCGTCTGAAACAATATCAGCCGCGCATTCTTTTACGACCGATAATAGCCACGCGGTTTAATGATCCCTGCCCGGTTTTCTTTTTCTTCGCGTTGCGGACACGGCCATGTCGAGTATAATTATGTAGATTATAGCCATAGAAACCGAGAAACTGGCCGCAAGCGTAGCCCCGTCAGCCATCACTGCCGCGCCTGTGAATCACACTAGAAAAGGGTATAGACCTTCTCGACGGCACTCTTCTTTTTTTATGGGAAGAAGGTCGGCCCATTTAACGGAAACTGATGGATTTATGTGAACCACTCGCGGAAACGGTCCTGCATATGGAACCATATTGGTCCTGGATTAATCGTAAACATCCAGCTTCCGTTTACGCGTCTTCATAACATATCGAACATGGAACGAAGAAAAAAAAATGGAGACCTCCAAATACATTGGCAAATATAATTGAAAAAGATATTTTTCAAATAAAAGTTTCTCACAATTTTAAAAGATAGAACGTATATGTAACAGTCCTTTAAAATATCGATATTTTTTTTTTTAGAAGACAATATCTTTTTTAATCATTTTTGTATATTGAAATATTAAAATCATTTAAAATATTTTATATTTTATTCTGATATATATATTTTGACATAAAATATGAAACACTTCGTAAAACATTTATTTATTAAAAAAATTGAATTATATAAAAAGAGAAATGATTCTATTCAAAAAATATATAATTTATATATAATTTA